GTTAAATGCAGACGGATAAAATGTGCATTGGTTTCTTTAAAGTATCAAGTTTAAAATTATAAAATTAGTCTAAATATGTTAAACTTTATTTGGTGGAGATGTTATGTATGTTTTTACTAATATTAATAATTTTGTTGTGTGTTTATCTTCTCGTCTGTTTAAAGAGCGTACATATGTATATATTCTAAAGACTGGTTTTTTTCATAGAGCAGGTTACACGCAGGTGATCTATTTCAGCAATGACAAAAAAAAAAAAAAAAAAAAAAAAAAAAAACCGCCTCGTCCAGTGTCATTGATTTAGGTAATCCGAAACCAGATTTCATTTTCCTCTATTTACAGGCACAAAACCAATCCGAATCGTTCCAGCCAGTGACGTTAATGCTGAAGCCTTGGAAAGGTACGATAAATCCGTCTGTACATTTTCAAGACCCCGATTCATCCAGGTTTGGCTGGCAAAACCTGTCGCCATCGCACTAGCGGCTCTTGGAGACGACGGTGAAGTGATTGGGTATGGTGTCGCGCGCTCAGCGCCAGAAACGTTTTTCATTTCACCATTATATGCAGAAACAAATGACGCTATGATTCATCTTCTGAAAGCTCTCCTCACCTACATTCCCGAAGGTTCTGAGGTTGACATGTACGCACGTGTAGAAAACCCAGTCTTTAAACTGCTTCTGGAAAAGAACAAAACGCACGAAGAACCCGTCCGGTTTATGTATTCTAAAAGGGAGTTAATAATACCAAAGTTTGAAAGCATCTTTGCGGTAGCATTAGCTGGAGCAATGCCAGTGTAATTGTTTGCATCCCAATAATGCACTTATTGCTCCATATTTACATTTTACCATAGTCTCAAATGTTTATATAGAGCCTGAAAAAATTACAACTTGAATCAACAATTTCATATTTTAACATGACTTTTCAAAGTTTTCAAAGTAAAGAAATTATGTGGGTATACATGTATGTATTTGTACTATATACATATATTGACATGGGTTACACATATGATAAAGTAGAAATAGGGAAAGCGTCGGTTTTCTGTTGATGTCTCTGTATCACTTATTAACATTTCTATTATTCTTAGCATAGTATCCTGTATAATAAAAGGAATTGTGTGTCCTCATCCTAAACGTATGCATCAATATTTTGTCTTTCTATCTTTTTGATTATTTCTTTCTCACTTTATTCACATTAGTCGTTAAGTTATGTATTAGTTAGCTACATGAATGTGTCATCTATGTATACTTTGTACTATTTTCATCATTATAATTTTTTCATTATTATTATTTATTATCAATTATAATTATTTTGTCACTACTGGTATCCCTAATAGCGCTTATGAATGAATGAATGAATTTGGCCGTAGTCCATTAATGAGCCGTTGGTCTCCTTTCACAAGCATGTCTATGATCTTGCTCCACTCCATCCTGCCATGCGTTTCTCCTTCGAAAGATGCTAGCATCATGCTCCCACTTCTCCTCTTCCGATGCCTTTACTTTCTGATCTTTCGCATTTGGACTTCCTTCAGCATACTAATACTATGGTTTTCAGTTATTCCTACTTGTTCTCTTACCCCTCTCATTTGTTCATTTCACTCTCAACACTCTTCTCCACAACCACATCTCAAAGGTGTGGATCATTTTCTCCTCTCATTTTCTCCCGAGGGTCCATGTTTCACATCCGTACAGAAGTGCACTCCATACCACAGCCTTGGCTAACCTTACTTTCAGATATGTACACAATTCTCTCGCCTTCCATAATTCTTCCATTTTGTTGGTGGTAGATCTTGGTCGCCCAATTCTGCTCTTGATGTCTACAATGCTATCCCCGTCTTGGGTGACACATGAGCCCAGGAACTTCACCTTTTTCACTTTCTCAATCCTTCCCCCCCTCCCCCATCTCCACATGTCCCTCCCCCATGCAGTGTCATTGCAGATAGTTTGGCTCTATGGATGTCGAGGCCCACTGCTCTGCAACATTCAAAGTATCTTCCATCTCATTGCATTCTTCTCTGGAATTGGCCACCATTGTTGTATAGTCTGCATATCCATTGTTCCATACAGTTCTCCACACAAGGACTTTGCCCGGTCTTTCATCGAGCCTTTCCAAGACTTCTCTTCAAATGGAAACTCTTTTGTGTGCTGGTTGTTTACCCTTATCACTCCTTTGGCATTGTCATACAAACTTTTTAACAACCACGTTAGGTGGTTATCTGATGTTTAAATAATGGTTAATTATAATTTAATGATTTGTCCGTCTGTTTACAACATTATCCAAAATGTTATGAAGAGGTGGAATTTCCAAGATAGGCCAGGAATGGGCAAGATTTTGGTGGTATTTATTAAATTAAGTAATTAACTAACTAATTAATAAATGCTTTAAAAATAAAGAAGAGATTTGAGCTGCCTTAGCGGAGGTTTGCGCTCTCACTGCTTTTAAATAGTTCCAAAGCGAGAATTGCTTTGTGGGTTTTTGTTTTGTCACGCAATGGTTCTTATGTACATTATTATCGTACAAACAAGATGTGTGCGCATGCAATTGTAAAAATAGCTCTGAGCACGTCTTAGCACGTTCAGTGCGCGAACTTTTTGTAGCAATAATGTCTTTTACTTTTCATTTATGCATTAATACTGATATTTCTTCCCAATAAATATTGTTCTGTGCTTAAATAATAACCGCCTTCTGTTTTAATTATTTGAGGGGGCAGACCAATATGCCAAGAAAAAAAAATCTAGGGTATAAACAAGGCTTAGGCTTGATAATAAAGATGTTGTAGTCCTCTTCTCCATCTCAACTGTCTTTACACTCGACTGTAGCAATTGCTGTCTTCATCTCAACTGTAGCAATAGTTAGAATAATAAACCTTTCAGCAACATGGTCCAGTCTGTAACTGTGAACCAGAGGACAGCTGAGTGCAAGCGTCAACTCCATACGAAACAAGCGAAAAATTGTCTCTAAGGATGTATTCCCAGAGATTTAGATCGACCCAGAGATTAAGATTTAGATCAACCTAACTCCCTGGGGGTTCACGCTAAATTGCAGTCAGCCGAGCGCGCACCATAGTTAATTACCCCCTTACAGCTTTCAGTAGGCGGGACAGACGCTTAAGCCGGCTAAGCTGACAGTAATCTAGTTAGACTCCCCACAGGGATAGACCGATCTAAAATCTATGGAAATGGGGTAATAACTTTTGCTGACATAAACATTTTAAAGATGATGAGTCTTATTGGATATTTGATATATATTTTTCATCCCTTAGGCCATAACATTTAATACAGGCAACAATTTGTTACCTTGTTAAAATGATAAGGATAGTGGGGTTATACAATAAAAGTGTCCTTTTTGGGCCAAATCTCGAACAATCGATATTGCCTTCTTTCTTGTTGTGAATGGGATAATGAAAATTTGTGTTACACTGGGATGGAGGAGACATAAATAGCTCTAGTTCACGATCTTATTTAAATCAACACTGAGGCTGTAAAATGTACGTGCATTATAACACGTGTTTATTAGTTTTGCGGCTGTGAAAGTTATCTTAAAAATTCCTGCATAAATAAAATAGCGACAGATAGTTGCGCCATAGCAGTGTAAGGTTACGGTGTACAGATCTGGGTCATCGCCGTCCTTTGATTTGAAGTTTTATAATATACAGATTGCAGAATGGCTGACGAAACCCCAAAATTGGAGCACGACTGGACGTCTGAAGTTGTCATAAGACAAGCTCAAATGAACGATGTAACTGGGATCTTCAACCTCACGAAGGAAGTGCAATGGAATATAAGTCAAGACACTATCGCCACTTTGTTGAAAATCGTTGAAGAAGGCGGACAGTTCCTAGTTGCAGACCTGAAAGGAAGGGTTATTGGTAAGGGCACTCTCTCTCTTTCTGTCTCTCTGTGTCAGGTTTCGTTCAGGAGCCATGAAAACTGTCTTGAAGTCCGATGTTCTGTGAACGCCTTCAAAAGAGGTAGCTAAATGTATCGGGTATTTTACTTTAAAATGATAAGAAAGTAACATTACTGCTGCTACTACCACTACTACTACTACTTAATGCCTATAAAAGCATTATTGTTATTTATATTTTTTTTCAAAGTCAAAAATTTACATGAAGACATTCACAATAGCATTAATAATTTCAACAAAGTTCTTAAAAATCATGATTCCAGAGAAAATTTACTAAAACAAATGACCACTTTAAATTTAGTATAAGAAGTATATCTTATTTAAGCATTCTATATCTAAGTATATAGCACTTCGGGTCTTTGAGTACTAGAACACAATTTCCGTTGAAAACAGACGAATAACTTATCATTTGCATTATCCAGGTGCTCGTGTCGTCTTCATACTAGACCACGAGACTGCGTCCGTTGGGTTTTTCGTTGTAAAATCTGAATATCGAGGAAAGACTGTTGGTGGGTAGCCTGCATAGAGTAGGTTGTTTTTAAAACTTTTTCTTTTAAAAAATATAGTCAAGCTCGAAAAGCACTTAGGGAGCACAGGCTTCCGCCAAGACAAATAATTTATTAATAATCAACTATTTATTAATCAATGGACCATCACTAAAACCAAATTACATTTAATTCAGCCCATTTATGACCTAGCTGTCCTGAAAATTTCATCAAAATCCGTCCAGAGCTATTTGCATAATGTTGCTAACAGAGAGACAAACTGAACCAAATGCAAACGTGTCACCTCCTTGGCGGAGGTAATTTACATTGAAATATGCAGTGTGCGGTTATCTGTATTAAGGAAGGATTATGCACACATATCTAAATGGGTCAGCGGCAAACGTGTGGTATTTTTATACCTGCTTATTTAAGCTGGTAATCTTCTTACGTCTATGTATATATATGTGTGTAACTGTATAGTACTGTATGCATGCATGAATTCTGATTGGTTCCAGCCAAGCAAATAGCAGCCCGTGTCCAGAGTATTATAGGGGAGCGGAACCTTATACTGTGGTCCTTGGTACCTAGGATAGCCGTAAATATTAAAGTTGGGATGCAGTTGAGCACTGGAAATTATTGTCGTTTATACTACTGCCGAGGAAAACTGGACCTTACAACACTGTCCCCAGAATGTCCAGCGGGTGCGTGTAGGTGTATTTAATATACGCTCTTGCCCAAAATTGTTGGTACACGCAAATTTTGGGATACATATCACCCTGTTTCTTTCATTATAATTGATATCATCAAATTAATACTGTTTATATTGTTAAATATGTGAAGCTGGAGGATTGGTAAAGTCAAGGAGAAACAACCAATGCAAATGTGAAAAAAGTGTTAATTTATTTAGGTTTTTTTTCTCATGCCCCCCACTAGAGTACTTTTTTACATAACAGTACTAAGTGAAAAATTAAACATAAATTTATACTGTGATTGACAATTAATATGAAATTAGGGGACATTGTCAAGAAACATCTTCAGAGTTTACTGTTAATCTAAGTAGCGGGTATGCCCACCCCGAGCTTGGATAATGGCCGCCAGACGGCGTGGCATATTGTGAACTAGAGTTACAGCTCTTTGGAGAGGAATTCTGGTCCATTCATCTTGAAGGGCATCTCGCAGTTCATCTAGATTTGCAGGGGGAGGGTTTCTCCTCTGAATAGCACGACCAAGTTCGTCCCACATGTGCTCAATTGGGTTTGCATCTGGGCTTCTTGCTGGCTGTGGCATCAGCTGAATGTTGTTTTGTCGGATAAGCTATTGTTTCCTGGATATTTTCAGAACCATGTACAGAACCACCTCCTCCAGCTATGAGAGTGCGTAGGCTCCCTGGGGAGAGGCTGTTAACTGAAAATATCCAGGAAACAATAGCTGGAGGAGGTGGTTCTGTACCTGTTTGGGGTGCTATTTGCAGCAACGGTATTTGCCCATTGCTTCGTCTGGATGAAAACCTTAACGCTGCCAGATACACAGACATTCTCCAGCAGAACCTGAAGCCGTTCGCAAGAGGGATATACAGAGACAATTTTAGATTGCAACATGACAGTGCAACTCCCCACACAGCCTGCTTAATTGCAGACTATATCCGTCAAAACAACATTCAGCTGATGCCACAGCCAGCAAGAAGCCCAGATGCAAACCCAATTGAGCACATGTGGGACGAACTTGGTCGTGCTATTCAGAGGAGAAACCCTCCCCCTGCAAATCTAGATGAACTGCGAGATGCCCTTCAAGATGAATGGACCAGAATTCCTCTCCAAAGAGCTGTAACTCTAGTTCACAATATGCCACGCCGTCTGGCGGCCATTATCCAAGCTCGGGGTGGGCATACCCGCTATTGAGATTAATAATGAACTCTGAAGATGTTTCTTGACAATGTCCCCTAATTTCATATTAATTGTCAATCACAGTATAAATTTATGTTTAATTTTTCACTTAGTACTGTTATGTAAAAAAGTACTCTAGTGGGGGGCATGAGAAAAAAAACCTAAATAAATTAACGCTTTTTTTCACATTTGCATTAGTTGTTTCTCCTTGACTTTACCAATCCTCCAGCTTCACATATTTAACAATATAAACAGTATTAATTTGGTAATATTAATAATAGTGAAAGAAACAGGGCGATATACATCCCAAAATTTCTGTGTACCAACCATTTTGGGCAAGAGTGTATAATGATTCTCTGTTGACCCTTGTGGGATGACAATATAAAATGAAGTCCTGGGGTTTCATGATTTTTATTGTTGCATTGATAAAAAAAACTGTTTTAGTTCCAGAAGCATTGTTGGGGGGGGGGGGGGGGAGGACTGATATTTAAATGCAGATGTAATCAGATGTGCATTTTAAAAAGTATCTAGTTTAAAATAATTAAATTGGTCGGAGTAATTTTAAATATATATTCGGTGGGTATGTTATGTACGTTTTTGCAAATAACTTTCTTGATTGTTCATGTCTTAGTCTATTAAAAGACCGTACATATTATAAAGACTGTTTTTGTCATAGGACAGATTACACGCAGGTGATCTTATTCAGCAGTGACACCAAAAATACGTTTCGTCCAGTATCACTGATTTCGGTAATCCGAAACCAGATCCAATTTTCCTCTATTTACAGGCACAAAACCAATCCGAATCGTTCCAGCCAGTGACGTCAATGCTGAAGCCTTGGGAAGATACGATAAATCCGTCTGTACATTTTCAAGACCCCGAACCATCCAGTTTTGGTTGGCAAAACCTACCGCCATCGCACTGGCGGCTCTTGGAGACAACGATGAAGTAATTGGGTATGGCGTCGCTCGCTCAGCGCCAGAAACGTTTTTCATTTCACCATTATATGCAGACACAAATGACGCCATGATTCTTCTTCTGAGATCTCTCCTCACCTACATCCCAGAGGGTTCCGAGGTTGACATGTACGCACGTGTGGAAAACCCAACTTTTAAACTGCTTCTCGAGAAGAACAAACGGACCTTTGCCAAAATGCACGAAGAACCCATCCGGTTAATGAATTCTAGAAGGGAGTTAGTAATACCAAAGTTTGAAAGCATCTTTGCGGTAGCATTAGCTGGAGCAATGCCAGTGTAATTGTTTGCATTCTAATTATCCATTTATTGCTCCATTTCTACATATTTACTATATTATTTAAATTACAACTCGACTTAAACTTATCATCTTTAAGCATACTTTATCAAAGTTGTTAAAGACATACATGTACCTCCAAATAGATTTACTGTTATTTTGATATACCAGTGAATTATATTGCCTCCACTTTGACGTTTTAACATGGTTAGCATCTCTCGCGTTATGCGCATTATAGGTGTCAGTACAAAGCCTGCGCACAGTTTCATATTTCAGTGACTTTCTACAGTGTTTCACACTCAGCACCGGCTACTTTGTTGGCTATTTTACATTCTCATGATCGACGTATTTCTTAAAGTTCCTGCTTTTTTAATTTCTTCAAATCCGAGGCATGTTATAATGTTTTCTTCAACTGGTTGTTGATCTATGCATACAGTGATGATCTTGCAACGTAATTTAATGATTGTATAATTGTGTCAATTAAAGCCATTAATATATGCGTGTAATTAACAAATCCACACCTGTTTGTCTGTTTGTCATAAGGGTAACTCAAATATTAAGGACTGGATTTTGTTGAAAGTAATACGATAGATCTGAAATGGACAAACTTAAAAGTGATGAGATTTTGGTAGTTTTCTGATGGTTAAATGATGGTTAATTTTATGTTAGTAATTTGTCCGCCTGTAAACAATCTGCAAAATATTATGAAGGGGTGGAATTTCCAAGATAGGTCAGGAATGGTTCCAAGATAGGTCAGGAATGGGCTGGATTTTGATGGTATTCATTAAATTAATTAATTAACTAACTAACTAACTAATGCTTTAAAAATAACAACTAGAATTGAGTTGCCGTCGCAGCTGTTTGCGCACTGGGTGATTTTTATTTCTTCCATAAATTATCGCCTAAGAGATGGTTCATAGCATAGAATTATAGCCGCGGGGTCAGTCATCGCCGGCTTGCCAACATTGGTCAGCTGGGCAAATGAAGTGGGCCCCAGGGGACAATTTCCGTCCGACCACCTGACATATGTACTGTAGCTGGCGGCTAGGTATAGCTGTATGCCCACTGATGTTAACGTTGTGCATCTTAAATGAAAACATCGGTGAAGCTTTTCTGGTTGACAGGTAACCCTGGGTTGACAGCATTAATTTACAGATAAAAACAGTATCGACCGAGAATTCAACATGTAGACCCACACGTGCACTGCCACCTTCTTTTTGTTGTTGTTGTCTGCCGTGAGGCAGGTTCAGCGTCCCTCTCGATCTTCAGCCCTTCGTTTGATCTCACAACAACTTTCTTTCTTAATTCTTATGCCAGTGGTCGAGCATTGTCATTCTCTTTCTTCCACAGCGTCTTTTCCTATTTAACCTGCCTTCAAAGACCCCCCCCCCCCCAACAGTTCATGAGGTTTCATAACGTGACCAATCTATTTCTTCTGCCGATTATAGATAATCTCTATCAAAGATTTCCTTTCGTTCATCCCAAGCAGTACTTTCTTATTTTTACCCTATCTGTCCAAACACGGAGTTAAGGCAGCCATATATCATATCTTGAACATTATCAATACGGGGTTATACGTACGTACATGTATCTCTTTGTCATCAGAGTTCACTGTACTTTTTACTATGTCGAGCTCCACTTTTGCATTAGCACCTGGAAATACTAATCCCTTCCTTGTCCTTTTAGTAACCTTTTTGATTGTAGAACGTCCAATCTGAAATTATTTATCTCCTCCTATTCATTATGAGTGTTCCATAAACCACCTCCGGACTAAGATGAAGACGGAGATAAATGAAAATTGCGTAATACTCAGGTTTAACGTGTATCTTTGGCTAAGAACTGTGTATAAATTTTCTAAAAAGCTGCAGGCGCCACAGTCTTTGACTAAATATAGACTCGTTCGTCATAGTTGGTACTATAGTGGGAGGAGTTTGCCCAAAGAGTTTTCATCTATGTACCAAGTGAAGACATATAGCCTTCTACATGTACGTGCATATGTTCCAAGTGAAGACATATAGCCTTCTACTTGTACGTGTATATGTTCCAAGTGAAGACATATAGTCATCTACTTGTACGTGTATATGTTCCAAGTGAAGACATATAGTCATCTACTTGTATATGTTCCAAGTGAAGAGATGTGATCTTTGGCATCACTGCATGAATTATACTTCTATCCAGGAAAATTACTGACTGAGTTTGAATTATGGAACTAAATAGGATTTTGTTGGTTATCGGATGTACAAGTACGTGTATCACGGCATTCATTGTTTGCTTGGGCACTCGACTTTTATTTTCGGATCAACAGTATCTTGGTCTCTTTAAGAAGGATTTGGCAAGAAATGCCCGGAGAAAATATCTTCAAAACGACGAAGAATCCTCAGCCAGACTAATGTACGTGAATGGTGGAAAATATAACCTCATGAACGGAACAAATGGTAACTTATGGATTAGGAATGGGCCATCAGAGAGCGAGCAATTATTGCATTTTTGGAATCACTGTGAAAATCAACATGTGTGCAATGCAACTAGGTCCCCGAATGTGAATCATACCATCACCGTCACTATTTCCGACAACGAGTTGGTGGTATTCATCAGGGAAAGCGTTATCACTTCAGAAAAGCCGCCACAGAGTTCTTTGGGAGGCAGCGGGTTTCGAATCGAACTGCATGGAAGAGAAATACTCACGTGTCCAGTGACGGATTTTTACAACGGCACTTATATCGCTATTTGTCCAAAAATTACTGGCTGTGTCAAAGGCACAGTGTATTTTGACTATACTGGATTTGAAGCATACAGGCATCACCAACGGCCTAAGAAGCATATGCGGTTTGAGGATTTATGTTGGCCAAGAAAAATCCACAAGGTGATACGTATTTTTGAAATATGCCCCGACAAAACAAGAACAGGTCTGAGAACAAATAACAAGTCAGGTTTTTGCAAGTCTAAAACGCTGGATGAATTCATGATGGGACGCTGGTGGAATGATAGGGGGAAGTTATACTGGGGATCGTCTGATGGCTGTCCATTTGAACTCATGTCTTATAAAGAGCTTCTACGGTGTTATGACAGAATTGATTTAACAATAGTGGGCGATTCTCATGTTAGGAGATTTAGTGAGTATCTAAGAAGCATCATTTTGAAACAGTCTCGAGCAGCAAAACGGATATTCAGGTGGTCCCCATACGCCAAAGAAATGCCAGCACATATTTCATCTGTGGCGAACTCTCAAAATCGATCTCAAAATACAAATCAAGTTATTCTGTTAAATGTTGGAATTTGGGCAAATGTTTTTGAGAGCAGCAAAAAGTTTCTGCAACAGGATGTTCCGGTTTTCCTCAAATTTCTATCCACTTTACAAAAGAAAATGAAGCCATGTGCACCACGCCTGATTTATCTTAATATTCTCCCAAGTCCCTGTGGGGAACAAGACTCAAACTATTACATGTTGGCGGCTGTTAATGAGATATTTACTCGACAACTTCAGCGATACGGTGTTGAGATTGTGGATGGTTTTTACGTGGCCAATCCTAGAATGACTGACGTTTGTGACAGCCACCACTTTCTTTGCAGTAAGTCCATGAATAACCCGGACTTGTACAGAAATGAAATTGGATTGACAATTTCTCATTTAATATTCAAGCTGATGTGTAAGCTATAACAGGGAAATACATATATTTTGTCATATGATTTGAGATATCAACCAACACAGGCCATGCAAGTACATGTAAGTCGGTAGGGAATGGGAAACCAATTTATATCCAAGATGACAATCACCAGGGTCATAGCCTCCGGGGGAAGGGGGGGGGGGGCGGGGAGGGGCGGGGGGGGGGCTGTCACAAGTTGGTGTCAATTCTGTGAGAAAATGCACTCATGGCCACTAGACATTCATCCCCCTCCTACACCCTCCCCCCTCGGGGGCTTCGCCCCCTCGTGTCCGCTTACTGCCCCCCTGGCATTTTGGTCAGGCTACGGCCCTGGGATAACTTTCATATTTAAAAACCATTGTACACTGTAAGTGTATTGCCCGCTAGTAAATGCTTACGTTCATATAGTCCGTTGGTAATATCCCACAGTGACATTCATCACATGTACATGCACTAGTACGGTACAGAGCACTTGGTAGCAGCTAACGCAGTGGCGGCTGTAGAGGGAGTCAAGGAGAAACTTGCGAGACTTTTACATTTGATCACAGTGTCCTGGATATGAAAGATACATTCTTGTATGGCGGTAGGTGACGCTTTCTATGACACTCTGGTGATGCAATTAAGCGGGCTGTGTGTTGAGTTGCATTGTCATGTTGCAATCTAAAATTGTCTCTGTATATCCCTCTTGCGAACGGCTCCAGGTTCTCCTGGAGAATGTCTCTGTATCTGGCAGTGTTAAGGTTTTCATCCAGAGGAAGCAATGGGCAAATGCCCTTTCTGCAAATGGCACCCCAAAACTTGTACAGAACCACCTCCTCCAGCTATGAGAGTGCGTAGGCTCCCTGGGGGGAGGCTGTTAACTGAAAATATCCAGGAAACAATAGCTTATCCGACAAAACAACATTCAGCTGATGCCAGAGCCAGCAAGAAGACCAGATGCAAACCCAATTGAGCACATGTGGGACGAACTTGGTCGTGCTATTCAGAAGAGAAACCCTCCCCCTGCAAATCTAGATGAACTGCGAGATGCCCTTCAAGATGAATGGACCAGAATTCCTCTCCAAAGTGTTGTGACTCTAGTTCACAGTATGCCACGCCGTTTGGCGGCCATTATCCAAGCTTGGGGTGGGCATACCCGCTATTGAGATTAATAATGAACTCTGAAGATGTTTCTTGACAATTTCCCTTAATTTCATATTAATTGTCAATCACAGTATAAATTTATGTTTAATTTTTCACTTGGTACGTTTTGGGATTGATTGTTATGTTAAAAAATAATCTTTTTGGGGGCATGAGAAAAAAAACCTAAATAAATTAACGCTTTTTTCACATTTGCATTGGTTGTTTCTCCTTGCCTTAACCAATCCTCCAGCTTCACATATTTAACAATATAAACAGTATTAATTTGGTAATATCAATAATAATGAAAGAAACAGGGCGATATGCATCCCAAAATTTCCGTGCACCAACCATTTTGGGCAAGAGTGTATAAGGTATTCTATTCGTGATATTTTTATCACTGTAAATTTTCTTGGAAAAATACTATTTCCCTGCTGCTTTGCAGGTTATGTAGAAATAGAAAGCATATCTTTGTGATATATTTAAAATGCGGATAATATACCTTTAATATCACCGACGGTGTTCAATTTTATTCAAGGGTGAAACTGGCAAAAAATAAAAAAATCGAGATTTTTTTCTCGTCCTTTATGTTCATTGACTCATTGTGCATCAGATTCTAATAATAAATAAATCATTATTTAAAACGGATACAAGTTGACATTCCGGTTTAGTTTTAGATGATTTATAAATTGAAATCAAAGGGAGCAGGCAGACTGCGGCAAATTTAAAGTAACCAAGCTGGAAGGCATCGCTGTGAAATACACTC